GCCGCGCTGTCAAATTCATCCTTGATATTGTGGAGGAGCAGGACAAGAACAAACGCAAGCAGCCTAAAATGTCTAAGACGCAAACCCAAACCTCGCATCACGATGAGGAGGAGCAGAAGGAGGTTGATGAACGCATCGAACAGTTGTTGAATGATGCTAACCGTTACGTGAATGTCGACGATAACGAGCCTTCGGACTCGAACACTCAATCTGATTCGAACACCCAATCCGATTTGAACACTCAATCCGATTCAAACACCCAATCGTCTTCTGATTCGGACAATTCGAGTGAGAATATTGTTCCGGAATTCACACCCCAGAATAGTTATCACTTGCGTCTCATTGCGCCTCAAATCCAGCTTCTCAGTGAAAAGAACCAGAAGTCGGTCTTGCTTGTTGCCGCCAAAGGCATGGAACTCAAGGTCGTGTCAATAATGGACAAGGCGCGTGTCTCTGACGATGTTAGTGGCTTGATACAGCGCCGTTTCTCCCTCGAAATGGACGGCGCCCAGTTCTTCGTTGCAACACAGAAGAAATTGATGGTGAACTTGCAATTCTATGCTGGCAATAAGTACGGAAATACCCCCGGATCAGCGTGGCCGCCGTGGTTGACCTTGGAAGCCATGTTCGATTTCGAACTGAATCCGTTTGGATTCTCTCGTATTGTGCAAAAGACTTCAGCCACCCTGCGTTACGACAAGTTCAACAATCTTCGCCTCAAGTATAACGAAGAGGTGGTAAAAGGTCAGCAAGGACCTGATCCTGAGGACCAAGAAGACCGCATAGACTCGATCAGTGTGGACTTCCCTCATTTCCGCGCGATTTGTGATTCTGCAGAGTACTATTCTATGTACATCATTGTCCTGGATCTCATGCTCTACAGTGAACCCCTCGAAAAGGTTCGGAATGAGCGCCTGGAGAGGATCATGCTCACTTCCGACTTCAGTGACCTTCGTGGCGCCCCGGAAATGGTGTTCAAGCTTCAAGCACGCATTCGCCAGTTGGAGGAAATCAAAGAGTACTTCCAGATCAACGCTAAGTTCCTGGACAAACAGGGTTGGGAAGATCGGCTAGCTCTCGAACGCGACTTGTCTCAATGCGAGGATGAACTTTTCTTCATGATGAAAGCAATCACAACTTCCCAACGGCGAATGGAACCAAGTTCGTCCAGGGCAGCTGGTGTCCACGGCTTACTACGTTGGAGCATATCCGCGAGTGAAGTGGTGTGGCACCTGATGAAGGAGGCTTCTGAGCCCTTGATTGAGTTCCAGTTGCGTAATGCTTCATACGAACGAACCGACAATACCGATGGCTCGAACCACAACCTGGTATCGATCGAGCGACTGTTCGGGTTGAACTTGCTGCCAGACGCTATCTACCCTCAAATTATCGCACCTTACCTCGACGGCGCACGCACCCTGGATGACTTCATGTTGCGCGTCAAATGGCACATGCTGGAGGCCGTTGCTGGTATCCCCGTGCTTGACAACTTCGAAGTTTCAATGTTCCCGCTCAAGATTCAGCTTGAACGCGAGCTAGGCCAGAAAGTCTTTGAATACATCTTCCCCAACGTGGGCTCCAGCGCCTTTGAGGCCGGTGGCTTCTCGCCTTTCATGATCAAGAACATGAAGCCGCTTGAGGGCTCGGATGGGGAAGACGATGACGAAGGCTTGAACGGCGCGCCACTGACACGCTCAACGAGTATCGATGGTGATAGCTCGTCTACGGACAATCTCGCCATCTCCAAGGGACCGGGCTCCATCGAACTGCGACTCCAGCCTACACTATCGCTTTCAGATGAGACTAAGTCGCGTAATCGCTCAGGCCACCTGAAGGGTCTTGCGATGACACCTATTCACCAGGATAGTACTCGGCTAGGTGTATCAGAGACCGCGCGCAAAACGGGCCGTCCTGCTACGACCGGTGGTCTCAGCAAAAAGAAGTCCGCTGATAGTCTGCGCATGTTGACCAAACAGCCCACTGAAAGATCCCTGTCTAGCCACAGTGCCGGCGAAGACAACCGCAAAAAGTTCGGAATGGGTAAAGGATTGAACAAGAACGGCAAATCCAAAGAGCCAACCGACGACCTGTCCCAAATGATCTCCCGCGCCTCCAACTTCATGACCCTCGCACGTGTGAAGGTGAATGATGTGGTTCTTTGCATGAGCTACAAGGGCAAAGGAGAGCACAACTTGGAGGATCTCCATGATTTCGTCTTCCGCCTTCCAGTCCTTGAGTACAGCAACAAGACATGGTCGAACCTGGATCTTGCCCTGCGCCTCAAGAAAGACGTGATCAAAGCCCTTATCTCGCACGCCCCCGCCATTCTTGGCAACAAGTTCTCCCACCACCGACCCTCCAAGCAGCAACAAAAGCGTTTCCGTGAGCTTGCAAGCTCGTCTCAACTTCTGCCCAATACATCCAACTTGATCAACCCGAGCAGTAGCCAAGCCCAGAGCCTGGCCAGCTATGACTCTAATAGCGATTACTCGGAGTCACGGTCACGAAAATCTATGCAGTCAAATGCCTCGCCATTGGTCAGGACCACCTCGTTGAGTTCGGACGTCCACGGCCTAAATTATTCAGATCCCACCATCTATGACGCACGGTCTGCCAGTGAGGTGGATGTAGATTCTCGCTGGGAGGTTCGTGTTCTTTCGTCTCATCGTATCACCGTGAATATCCCAGAATGCTAACACAGAATGTTTAGGCATCGCGTCGATTTGTCAATGCCCCTCCACCCCAAAGACCGATGACTTCTGGTAACGCCGTGACTACGGTTCGATCCGATAAGAACGATCAGGATGACAGGTATGGATCCCGTCTCCGACTCATTTATTGCCAGGGAAAAGAAACTGACTGACTCGTATAGTCACATCAAAACAATTCGCAACATCGGCCGGAAGTTGACATTCCGGAAATGATCGCTTCACCTTCCCTGCACTATATCCCTTGTTCTTTTTCTCTCCGTTGCTATTTTGTCTAATACCTCTACACCTTTTTAAAATTCTTGTGATCCTTTGTACACCACCAGCACCTTATTCCCACCAGGCCCCCTCGTGTCTCCTAGATACCCTCTACCTGCATTGGGCCGTACATAGGCGTTTTGTGTTTTCATATTTTTTCGGTGTGTCTATGGCGGGGAGAAATTTTGTTTTGATTACCCGAGTTGTCCGAGGACAGTGGCATAGAGGCGAAAGGGAACATTTCGATTTCTCTTTTCTTTCTTATAATCTTTTTAGTATCATCCTTTTGACCCTGACACCTTGTTTTCTGCTCGGACAGGTGGCCATTCATCTTCTTTATACATGTATACACCGGTGGCTTTCTTTCCCTTGCCCACGATATAGAACAAGGGAGATATTTGAGTGTTTTCTAATGTAAACGAATTTTATATATTGAAGAGGGGAACGCTTAAGGCAGTATGCTCTAAGGCATACGGGTCGATTTAGTACCCGTAGTTCAGCTTCGTACTCAACTTTGTATGTAAAGGAATCAACATTCCTTACTAGCTAGCATATCAATTAAGAAATATTAAAAAAAATTCTCTAGGGTTAAATTTTTAGTAGTAAAACCCTTAGGGTTATATAAAGCTTCTAAATAAAATAGAAAAAACATTATATTAATGTTAATTTCTATAGAGATAATGTTATTATCTGCAACATTTTTAATAGTTTAACGTTAAAAATTAACTATGTTTACATATTAGTTATTTACAGTTAAATATCTAGATATTCGTCCTACTTCAGTAAATGAAGTTTCACCTATATACTATATATGTTTACCTGTTAATAGCCTAATACTTTATAAGGTCGTTAAACTATCGTACCATAAAGTACCCTAGACCTTGACAAGTCCCGTTAGCACCAGCCGATTTTGGGTCCCGGTCACTCAGCCCTAAATGGAGTTCTGGTACGGTGCTGCGACCGTACCTATTTAGGTTAGACAATTACCTATATAAGAAGGTAATCGACATGGTAATGCCAAGGCAGCATTGAGACTAGCGCCTTGGCGCCTACTTGGCACCAAGGCGGAACCAAATCGGCGGGACTTGTCACGGCCTATATTTCCCTTTAAAGATAACGTATGGTAGGAGCGCTCGTCCGGAGGCGTAAATTAATTTAATGATAATTACCTGTTTACGATTGCTTATAAAACGCCCCTTCAGCCGGTATATAATAGCTGCGTAACAGCCTTCATCGTCATACTAACTCCTATTATAAACCCCGATTCGTCAAAGTTGTAAATATTATCCGAAGTAATACCTTGACGAAGGCAATCGTCTTTTCGAAAAGCTTAAACCACTCAAGAATAGTATTTGGGTCTTCTATTAGGGCGCGTTTGTAGTCATATTTATGAGAGAATCGAGTAGTAATCTTAGGATGTCGTTTGATATATTGTGTTGGCCAGTTTTTGCCAACGGTCTGGGGCGGGATTCAAGCAGTAAATTGGCCATATCTCTCAATATCGCGTTTGTAAGCGCAGCGCCTCTCTGATCCATAGAGATTAACCAATCCTGAATTGATTTCTCTTCTAGTTGAGTGAATTTAGGGCCTATACCCCTTGCTTCATACGGATTAGGAATGCCTTTCATCCGCGCTGCAAGAGTTGTACGGGGGAGATCAAGAGAGCGAGCAGCAGCAGCGACCGTGGTAATTCTGCCATTTTGAATAACCTTAATAGCTAGCAAGATCCTGCCTTCCTGCTCCACTGATTTTTGAACGTTTTGGCTGCGTTTTGGGGGCATGGTAGGCGCTTAAAGATAGGTGGTTGGGTAGAGGTGAGAAATTGAGGTGGGATGACAGACCCGCCGGGATCCATATGGAAGGTAAGCACCTTCTTTACCCGTGGACGACGGAAGCATCGACAGCCTCGAATTTGACCCGCAGAAAAACAATGTTGCTGTGATCTCTCGCCCCACTTGTGATGAGCCAAATAAATCTAATTGGAAAGAGGGCATTACAACTAAAATTCTAGTAGGAGGGGGAAAGGAAAGAGAGATGGGGGATGGGGAATCAGCGAACAAGTATCTCCAATCGCCTGACCCCGGTCTCAACGCTTTCAACACACAGACGGTTATACAAGTCGCATCCAACGCCCTTAAATCGCAGATGGTTGAATCGTCCTTACGCCCGGTGAGCCTTAGTCCAGTTGGCAGGACGCAAAAGTACGATTCGGAAGTTGTCGGTTGCTTAACGGGCGACCACGCGCCACCGAGGGGCCAAAAGGACGCTGCCCAGGGTTGACAAAATCATTTTAGCCCAGTACATGTGCATGCGAGAGTGGAAATGGCCCCCAAGTAGTATCACTAAACTGAGCTTTGTTCGAAATGAGGATGCCTCCAATAGAGCACTCTGCAGTACAATTTCCGTCTAGACCCCGAGAGCCGACACTGCGGGAATACAAACTCTTTCGATGGATTGATTCATGAATCTTTTCATATGGGATCTCACGATACAGTGACCAAGCTACTGCCTGCGGCGAAGAGTCGATCGGGCGTTAATAACGATATCGGATATAGTACCCTGTCGTTAGCTGCAGGAAACGGATATAAGACGTCAGTCAAGCTGCTGCTTACGACAGACAACCTGGTCAAGCTGTTGCCTGAGACGTATACCCTGCAGAAATGAATATAATCGGTTTTTTAAGCCCCGAAAGTCAATCGAGAGCACGGATTCCGACGTAATTCGATTCAGTGTAAGTCCGTCAGCGATAAGAGCCCCGCATTTTGGCCCCTGCTCCCATGTGCGTCAAATGTACAAAGTCATGTTCTGTCCTAATGGATCTTTCCCAATAACCCCTTTTGAGATCTGCTCGCCTATACTACAGAATGAGTGAACAAACCACAACCAGCTCTGCAAATGACCTCACGGCAACATCCAAGACAACCAAGTTCAAGGCCAGCTGTGACTTTTGTGCTTTGACCAAGGTGAAGTGCGATAAAATGCGCCCACAATGTCTACGATGTACCAAGAGCGGCGTCATGTGTCACTATAGCGAGACTCGACGCATTGGAAAAGCTCGGCAACTCTATGCTGCGTCTTACAATAGTTCCAAGAGCCCTGCCATGCAAGGGACCTTGCGTCCGGAGCCATCAAACCCCCGGCAACAACCACAACAAGCTCCGATGAACTTCACAGCCGGTGCTTCTCGTAGGATGTCCAATAGCCGGCCATCCCTGCATGGCCAGTGTGGGCCATCTGACTATATGATGTCAATGAACCTATTCGACGATTTTCTTTCCCAGGTCCCCGAAACGACACACCCGACGCTAAACCACGCGGGATACCGAAGAACGACGCCTTACTCGATTGAAGGCGAGGGGGTGATGTACCCATTCCCCAGCCCCGAATCGCCGGAGGGCCTGTTGCCGAACCTCGAGGGGACGGGAGAAATCGAAATGGAGGACATGGACTATATACAAGAGATGGAGTTAGAAGGTAGACAGACACGGGACACCACAGCACCGAGGGTTCTAATGCCTACTGCACGGGGACACGGAGGAGACTGCATTAAGCGGGCATCCACCGTGCTCCAGGTCCTCCATGTGATGAGGGCATCCTGCACTTGGTCGGGCGGCCCACTAGTGATTCCGGTGCGAACATTGGATGCGGCGCTGGGAAACAACCGCATAGCAATGGATACGGTGTGCGAGATCCTGGACTGCCCCTGCGCGCATAGCATGAGCGTTACACTCCTACTGGTTATGATCACGCACCACGTCATGGAGTCGTACAGGGACATCCTCGTACAACAGGCTTGTCCGCCTTCTCCTCGCGAGCACTCGGCACCGGGGACCGATCTCCTCACATCCGACATCCCCTTGGCCATTGGTGGATACCGTCTGGATAATGAGATGCGTACCAGGCTCATTTTGCAGGTTATCCGCTCCGAACTAGAAAAAATGGCCTCGCTCTTCAATACTTTCGCCCGATACGCCGAGGGGATGAGCAAGCAGCCCGAGGAGGCCGTGCTGAACGCTTATATCAATGGTTTACAAGCGACACGCCACGATATTCTTCAGTCTCTCGAGAAGTAGATGGTGTATGGTAGAATTACGGGAAATGACGTTTTGAGGAGCTCTGGGATTTATGATTTATTGCCTGGTGTTTTGTTCATCTTGCTTCTGTTCTGAATCCTAGACCTCAAGAATTGCTCTCAATCGGTACGTGCTTTGATAGAGCTTTCAAGAACAATTTAATCTTCATTTACTGGACGTCTTCCTGGAAGTGATTTTCAATGCGATGGAGACTGGCCATTTCTCCCCAGGTAGCCATATTCTTCGGAAAGAGCTAGAAAGTCACCGCATAACTTAGCCGGTAATATTGACTTAGCCGGGAATATTGCGCGAACGGCCTTTGTTGGGCTGAAAGGATCTGGCTTACTGCATGTGGCTTACAAGCTGTGGGGCGCCTTTCTTGGTCTCGCACATCGGTTTTCGCATAAGGTTATCCGTCATATCGCGCCGAGTGGAACACGATGCTTACATTCTGAGGTTAAGCGTGTTGAGAAACTTAACTGACACCGAAGGTTTCTTCACGGAATTATGTGGAGAGCATAGCACCGTCCCTAGATTCGCGGTTTGCCTCACATGCAGACTCATTAGGCTAAAGATGCCAGACTGGGATATGCCCCCCCCCCCCCCCCCCCGGCTTTAGGCCCTAAATATTACAACCTGCCCCTAGACTGGCGAGTTACAAACTAGGCCAAAAAGACCACTATATCTGAGCGTTACGCTCAGATAGACCAGGCTCCGATATATATAGATATATAGTGCGTGACATGACACTAAACAGGAACCGAGTTTTTGTTATGGTCTAGTAGTAAAATAGTAAAATAGGCTGTATTTTTCCCACATAAGATTCACTTAAGGCCAAGCCTATGAGCCTCTGCTCATTAATCGCACACTTCGAATGCGAATACTCCACACGACTTGCAGTCGATTTCGAAAACAGTTTCCCCTGTGGGAACACACGCTTTGTCTCGGCCCGTACCCGAGTATACGCTAATCTGTATTTGGTTACGCTAGGACGACCGCTGCTTGGCAGTATCACGTCTTGAGCCGTATTGGATTTCAAGGCTACTGTAAAATACCGTAAATCTGTACAGAATGTTCTAGGCAGAGTTGTCAACATTGGTCATTTATACCATACATTGTTCGTACACCAGCTTTCCGTCCCCATGATAAAGGAGTGTATAATTTCCCGTGACACGAGGGTCTGCTACTAGTATGATAGCGATACTCTTGAGAGTAGAGAATAGTAGTAGTGAGCTTATTACTATATAAAGACCTCAATTAAGGTGAGTAAAATTGTAGGATTCGAACGAAAGTTATAAGCCAAGGAAGAACGAAAGAAAGAGAGGTTGTATATGCTAATATGAGGTGAATGAGGTGCGCGTCTGGGCTGGATCGGACTAACGGTTAATTGGGTACTTCTAGTGAATAACTAATAGTATAGCCAGTTACTAGTAGAGGCCTCAGGTTCAATTCAATTTGCATGTCCGTGCTGTCACACCCTCCCGATTCGGCCTCCCCAACATAGAAGGCATGAGCATTGAGGGCATCTCCATATCAGCGAACTGTCACGTAAGGCCTCAGGCTGCTACCGGAGTCTTAAAAGTAAATCAGTAGCAATAAATATTTGTATATACTAGTTACTACTAGTAGAACAACTAGTGATTTCAGATCATTCCAAAACCTTCAAGTTGGAACCTCTCTCTTATATAGATACATTACTATATACTCCTACTACTGTAGTAGCAAGCATAAGCACCATCATCCTCTTCATCATTCTCATTTCTACTAGTAATAAAACCTAGTAGTACTAGTACTAGTACTATATAATCAATATTATTAGGTAGAACCTGCAAACATTGATTAGGAAGCGGATTACAATTATAGCAAAATGATCTTGATATGACCTATCCTGAGGTCTTCTTTCTAAGAATTAAATAAGATCGCCTAAGTCTCAAATGTTCCCCACTACTAGTAAATGTTGAAATACCAGTAACGAGTGCAAATGTATAAGGCCAGAACAAGAAAGAAGCAGAGAGTCACGCTGCGAAGACCATCGTTCAAGGAAGATGATGATGGAGATGATGAACTCACAGACAAAAGTACAGGATGTTTGTCAAGAGATGAGTTGAGCGTATCTGCGATCTTTTCATCATGGACGGGAGCCTCACATGAACCCTTCTGGGAGGCAACCCTCCAATTCTCAAGGCATTCAGTCAAGTTCTCACGCAGCATCGCCACGCTTTTCCTTAACTGAATGCTTTTCCGACCATTAGAGATCCAAAGTACATAGAGCGAAGAGCATTTTCCAAATTCTCCTTGGTACATTAGAGTGCACCCGAGATTTCGTACCCAGACAAAGAGTTCTGCGTCATGTCCGACCAGGAGTGCTCGACCAGCAATAGCCTTCTCGTGGAGTGGTACAGCCTTGCTTGGTTGGAGTTGCTGCAGATAAACATTGGCAAGCAGTGCCAATGATTCAAAGCTGTAGATATGATACGAGTCTAACTCGACAGAGATCGTATTCACGGAAAGCTGTTGCACATCCTCAACCGTCAAGAGGACGGCCTCCGCCTCATCGAGTCGACGCAGGGTATATAATGCATTTGCCAGATTGTTAGCCGTCCGCTGTGTGAGTCTGGATGGGCCGATATGCTTTTTCATGTCTTCGTATACTTTCTTTAGCACAAAGTAACTTTCATTAAATTGCTTGTCGCGGAACAAGGCCAGGCCTATATCATGATAGCACCGTAGCGTGTCCTGGTGATACCGTCCCAATACCTCGGTCATTGAGAACCCTAGATCGCGCAAGCCCTGGATGATACTTTTCTTTGATATATTTCCCATTTCTGTGGGCAGATTGTTGAGCTGCAAGAGGAAAGTGTGATGCGTGCAGATCAGTGACAGTGGGTCCATTATGCCGAAGCGGGCTGTTGCGATACTCGATGCTTCACTGGCAGTTAGCTGCGCCTGTTTGGGACTCCCACAGGTCTGTAGTACCCTGGAAAGTTCAAGAAGCCTTTTAATAGTACTCCGGGATTTCGTGCCAGCAAGGCTTCTTTCAACCGCCAGTACTGTTTCGAACGCTTGAACGAGAAATGTATCTAAAGTCTTACATATCTCTGCTTTCGGACTTGGAAGGAGCGCATCAGTGGGAGCACTCTGTAGCACGCAGCTTTTGATACGCAAGAAGATGCTTCGAAGTTCTGCGAACGCCGAAGGATGACTCTCCCCAAGCTGCCGTTGGAAGTGCGGGTAATAGCAAGTTGCCCAGCGAATTCCGGCATTGGAGGCAATGAATTTCCTTAAGATCTCCAAGATTATGGGATCTAACAAGCCGGCTTGCCTCATATGTCTCTCCCAGTTCAGACAAGCGTAGCTGAGAAGGGGAAATTGCCCGTTGTCTTGGTAATCGTACCATGGGACACATGAAAATGGTTGCTGGTGATCATCATGGCAAAGATATTGCAGGCAAATGCTAGCCATCCTTGCGTGTGCACTTTTTAGAGAAGCTGGCAAGAACAGGTTTCTCCGTTTCGAATCTGTTGTCAAGACATAATCTCGAACAGAAAGATGAGAAAGCGATACTCTTCCGTCAATCACCTCCACAAACGGACCGCATGCCTTGCGGATTATCTCGAAACTATCTATACGATGGTCCAAGCCAATTTTGATAGCGTCATCTATTTCAGATAGATCAAGAGGCACATCAGCGGTTGCGCAAAAAGTAAGCACCAGTTTGCGGAGCTCGAATAGCTCTGGTGATGTTTGATGCAGTTGCAACATTGCATGGGCGTACAGCGAGCCCAGTCCTTCTTCTGCCTCCGCCACATATGACTGAAGATCGCCCTTTTCGTTCGATTCGATTTGAAGGCCAGAAATGAACAATGAAGCCCATATGAAAAGGCCATGGGACCTCTCTCGGACGGTGACAATGGCGAGATCTATCATTGAGGGTGGCAGCGCCATTCTGCTAAGGTGGTGTCTAGCGAACGTCAATACATCGCCTTCTGTATGTTTTGATTTTATCTGGAGTGTGAGGTCAAAAGATAGTATGTCTCGAAAAGGGGTCACATCCCTAGAAGCCACAATGATCTTGAGATTTTGAACGTGGTTTTCCTGCTGTAAATCGACGAGAGCACGAAGCAATAGCGTTTTTGTGGTTGTGTCCTCAACTATTTCATCCAGGCCGTCGAGTACAAGATAACACCGCTGACTAAGTTGGCAAGTTTTGAGGAGGATCTTTAGGACTTCCCAAAAAGAGATATGCATTGTATCAAGGCAATCTCGACACAGCTCCACTAAAGAAGAAAGGACGGCATCTCTAAATGTGGGTTCTGCTAGCAGCTGACCCAATATAGCCGAGACAAGAGCCGCCTCCGTTCGGTTGCCTGGTGTATGTGGATTGAATGTGCTATAAATCACGACCGTGTCGCTCTCTGTTCTGAGTCTGCTAGCGATATAGGACGATAGAAAGCTTTTACCAACACCTATTGAAAGTCAGAACTTCTTCATGGCCAATTATACCATTGATCATTATGAAATCGAGGACGATACCTGGTGGACCATGAATCCAGAGCATTTGATGCCCATTACCTGCTCGTAGATTCCGGACGGGCAAACAGTCAAAGACCCATCCACACGTCCCTTCGACCGGCTGTAGCCAAGGGACTGAACGATATTGCAGCCGTGGCAGTATGCTTTCGAGATTATACAGACTTGCTTCACTTGATATTAATAATAGAACACATTTTACTCATTGTACCTGGATTATACTTACCTTTGGGGTTGTCGACCTGAGATGATAAGCCATCAGAGCCTGGGGCCAAAATCGACTGGATGTTTCGAAGAACAAGTTGATATTGACTGTCATCTCCACTGGAGAACTGACAGATTTGGCGATGATCTCCATCTAGAGAAATACCCTCTTGGATAGGTCCAATGGGGTCCATAATTGCGGAAGAATGTGGTACAATCTATTTATGAAGTCAATAGAATTCATATAGGGGCTAGGGGTAAGCCAAATAAAACCCACAGGAGTTCTCATCAGACCGATCTTGGTTTTTTTGCTTTCAAAGAAGTTGATCACCTTCACTGGAGGACTGAAGATATTCTGACCAAATTCAGTAGAAAGTTCGGAAAGTTCCCGCGAGTCCGGAAGAAGACTATTTAAATGCGACACTGAGATGCCGATGGAACACAACTTGGCAGCATTGGCAACTACTTTCCCCAAAGAGGCGACGGAAGATCCTCGATGCGGTGTTCCCATGAATATAGTTCCGATGATAGATGCCCGGATCGCTTTATAAACCGGGGATGAAGATGCTTTGACTAGAGCCTGGAGAAATTAGTGTCAGCGAGTGCGGGACGTCGTAGAGGTACATGCCTGTTTGGTTACAAGTCCCCCAAGACTATGACATATGAACAAGATAGGTCGACTAGAAGGAATCTGCAGATTGAATAATATTCAGAAAAACACTCTTCTCTTTGCACACTTTCATGGAAGAAACACATACCTGCTCTGGGTCACGCTTTAGAAGTAGGTGTTGTAGAAGCAATTGGGCGCTGTCTTTAAAGGTGTTCATCGACGATCCTATTACATTCGCATCATAACCAAAAGTCATGATCCGTGCATCAGGAATATCCACAGGTAACAAGTCCCTTAGCCAGCAGCATTGGCTTTCGTGTGTCCATGTTCGAAAAAGGTGACCCCCGAGACCGTGCACTGCGACTATACTGGTAACTGTTAGAAGATGCATGATCATTGGCCGTTATGAGCTAGAACAACTCAATTTCCTACTCAACAGTAACATGTGTTTTCCCTTCCGAAAGCACTTTCAATCCATACTGATCCCGTAGATCTGAACCTATCCCCGATGTCGAAGAACCCGAAGAATCCGGATATTGCAGACTCGGAGAATTCTGGCCCATGTTTGTTTATACCAGTTAAGATGTATTCTTTCAAGCCATGGCAATGTCGATAGACGATACTTAAGATCTCTATCCATCGTTCGGGGTTGCCTTTTTGAATAAAACATTGGCGAAGGGACTCAGTGTGAGCGGCTAAGTGAGGCTGAGCTTTGCCACGTCATCCCTGCAAGTTTTTGGGGTATGCATGCAAGCCCGAGACCCCTCAAGTTCCCGAGGGTCGCAGAAGCAAACAAAGCTCGCTCCATTTGCGTTACGACACGTGTGTTGGATGTTATTTGCTCGCAACCTTCATGAGGGGCAGATAGCATGTACGTATTTAGTCTCTCAGGGGCTACGAACGGGTCTCTCACGTTCTTCTTTTGCAACCTACCTATCCCTGATTACAGTGTCCTGCAACCATTTTTCCATTCGCATCAATCCAAATTGAATAAAATATCGGGAACCATCTTACCAAGAAGGTTCTGTGACAAAATGACTCGAATCGGTAAGAAATGTCGATATTTTGTATTGTATTTCAGTTGCTTACAGCGGCCATAGACAGAGATATCATTCCAAAGAACTTCTCAGGTATATATAATATCCGAGTCCACTACTACTACTCTACTAGTAGCATTTATGTTTCGGAAGTCAAACCATAAACGCTAAGATTCAATCTCATACAGGCCAGCCTTCAGATACCGGAACCGGTGGAAGTGGGTATGGGGGAGGTGGTATTCTGGAGTCCCCCGAGCCCCAACAAGGCCAGCAGGGCCAGCAAGGACAGCAGGGCCAGCAAGGCCAGCAAGGCCAGCAAGGCCAGACGAAATAACTCTATGGTGCGATTTCGTGTGAAAATGGATGAGAAGCAGAAACATAATTAGATCAGCTCCAGACTCTTCAAGTTCTAGGGTAATCGAACCTTTTTTTTGAACTGTGGCAATCTACCTACTAGGCTATGCTGAAGCATATGTCACGCTTAATGCGAAGCTCAACTCCATTCATGGATACGCACGATAATTATATGGCGAACACTATATTAGTAAATGCCACTCTTCAAAACGTAGCCCGGACTTTGGTCAACCAGAGTTGATAATACATAATCTCATTCCCTCTTGCTACGAAGCGTACTAGGGAAACACCTAAAATCGGTCTGCCCCCCTCAATATGGGCTAAATTCCGTTGAGGGGTTTTAGGGAGGGGGGTCAGGTGTCTCCTTTGCTCTCCCCACCTAGCCTGATATCCATGGATAGTACTATTAGAATAAAAAACGTTGATTTAACTAATATAAATTCAGTTACAGAAAAGCTGAAAATTCAACTGGACGTCTCTCTGTGGACTGGTCCCGCAATTGACTCTAGGAATCTTGTAATCCTTCGGATAGGAAAGAGCTGAAATTGTGAGACATTTTTACGAGATTCATGAAAAGGTCAAGTAACCAGCTTTAGTTACGAATAGTCGTAACTAAACGTTACTAACACACCCCTGCGAGATCCACTCAGCCGTGATATGCAAGTATGTCTGGATAACACACCTGACTGTCTGCATAGTAAATACTACATACGTGTGATCGTACATACATCCTCTTACCAAAAACATTAAGACCCCCTGGTTGGGATCTAAATTTATGTATGGTTATTGTGATGTATTGGTACCTTTGTTAGTAAGGAATCACATACTATATCTACTGTTTTCTTACAGTAAGACTTCTAGCGCCACCAAACATCACACTACCTACTAGTAATAAGTCTCAATGTTGTGGGTAAGAGGGTATACTAGTATATATTATATACGCTACGTGGCACACTACCTAGGTATGTGATCTGATGCCTATACCTGTTTGTACAAACATAGTACAGCGTTCATACAGTAGTAGGCAGGGGAAATTTTGGTCTAGGATTTCTGTGGGCGGCCGCACTACATTTTCTTATCAAGGAAGATTAAACGCCAGAGAATGCCAATAAGGTATGGACTGGTATACAAGTAGACAATTGGATCAGATGGGGATAAAATCAGATGGATAGGATAACTAACTATATCATGTAGGAGACGTACTTAGGCGATTGGAACCTCTCTTGAAATATCCCTGGTACTTGGGTTTAAAAAGACATTCTAACTAACCGAAAATCCGAATAGCGATATGAACATAAGGAAATGTAGGTCAATAATTGAAAATTTTGACTCTACAGTAAGTTACCGCTCCACTTTGTCAACACAATGTCATCGCGATCTCGGGCCCGTTTTTGTCAAAAATCTGAACGTCCGATGGAACTGAGGAGTATGTTCCAGTTCCCATGTGACATCTGTCCCTCTTCCTTGCTTGTGTTCGCCCACGACATGCTGATAGTCTGTCAACTTATACTCATCAGAGACGATGCAATGGTGGGTTCTATTGCTGTCAGGGCGCTCGTATAGCACTAGGTGATAAATCGAAGGAGAGAAGCCCGACGGTGCATGCGTGTAATAGTAATTATTCAGGGAGCTGTAAAGACCATCCGAGCATGACTGAGGGTAATGGTCCTCGCCTGCACGCGGCCCTTGAGCATAGGAATGGTAAACGTATGGCTGATGCAGCTTTGACACAGCACAACCCCAGATCAAGCCCTTCTCATGTAGAGCCTCCAGAAGTCTCTTTATTGCCGTTACCCCCATCCCCGCATTTGTAGGCTCTGGCACATCTGTCAACTTTGAGAGTTGAGGCGCCGTCATACCGAGTATAAAGGCAATTGAAACGAAGGCACAATTGAACTGAAGCGCGTTTGGATTATAGTAGGAACCGGGTCCTGGCCTAGCAGTGGCGGAACTCCCGTAGAGGTACGTCGCTATCTCGTTAGCGGCGTGTTCCATATTACCACTTCCTGTACTAGTAGCCATTGTATTGAGATCACGAAACGGCTTATAGGTGAACGTCTGGTGTTGAAGTCGCACGGCAAGATCTTATCAAAGTCTGGTCGGTTATTATCCGATAGTGTTTTGCAGATGTATACCGATTTATTTGAAATCGCAAGATTGTCAGAACATTTGAAGATTGCTATTACTCAAGTCATTCACCACCTGGGTGGAGCTAGTTCCTCTGTCGGCTGAATCGAGGTTGAGAAGTTGGACAGCAAAAGAGTCTTTCTGCTATACTACCATCCAGGTAAAATCAAGTGCCAAAGGCCTTAAGATATCACAAATTGATTTTGGGGCTGTGATTATGCACCCGGGTTACCCTTCAGTTGTGGGTCTTGTGACGTGTACTAATTTGCAAGAATTACATGAGCAAACACTACACATTGTGGTGAGGGGTTCTCGGACTCTCTATGCATACGGATTATGTAGATATACATCTGCATATTTGCTTTCATTACTGTACTTCTTCTTGGTTCGGCTGTAATTAGAGGGAGGAATCTGCAGGTCGACACTGCTATTACGTACTAGTATTACTTTTCGGCGTATAGTACTCCGTATCTGTTTGTCAACTTAAGAGCCCAGTAGGTATTCCTTGGCGACAAACTGGGGCGGTGATCTCCTTTGCCTCTTATTAGTTGCTGAATCCGACGTGATCAATTTTCAAGCCACTTTATCCGAATCGAGATCATTCGGCGATGAGACAAACATGACCGGAAAGTATTAAACAATGACCTTATCTTATCTTAAAGGTCTTGAAGATCAAAACATAGGGATTGGCTAGGAGGGCTGAGGGCTAAGGGCACCCCAGGCTCGGGCTCTTCCAAGGTTCAAATGTTTGAAGCGCGCATTTGCAGGTTGGCAATTCTCAGCCTCGTTCAAGTTTGAATGTTGGGCGCACAGACCCTTGCGGCTGGCCCACTTGCATGAGGCCTGGCATAATAGAGACTCGGATTAAACAAACTTGAAGCAACCAAAACATCAAGCGGAGTCCTTCCTCTACCGCCCAACTGCTCGTAGGCTTCTTCCGTCACGGGCTTATATGCTTTGGTATTTGTAGAATATATCTCATCAAGTCACGTTACTGACGAGCCTCTGAGGGAAAATGCTTAACAGCCCGCAGCCATGTTTCGAGGCTGCTTTTTTCATGAACAGCGCATCGGGGGTAATAGCGAAGGGTCGCAATAGGCGGCCCAGTGAGGCTGAGCCATGCATGCCAGTTCAGAACGTCTGAGGGGCTGCAGAAGCAACCATAGCTCGCATCCAATTATGCTACAACACATATCTCGATTATTCGCTGGCAATCTTCCTAAGGGCACTAAATACTAGTGTCTCAAGGGCGTTTTATTCGAGGGGTAGCCCCAACTTTCAGTCTCTCGCCTCCGAGTCCTTCTTTTACAGGCTCGCCCCCAACTCCAGCATATCATTGTTGCGACCATTTACACATCTAGGACAACTTGAATTGAGGCATCGAGAAACATCTTGCCCAAAGCGTACATGAGAATAAATAAAATCAGAGTAAATAGCATGATTTACTAGAAATAACATCAACGCCTATATCCCTACTGGTAGGGGCGTAGCATGATGAAAAGCTGGAGAGGTATTCAACCGAATTGAATCTGTTATTCAGAAGCACGAATTCCTGGAGCCCGAATTCTGCTGTCCACATGTCAGCGCACAGCCCGGGGGCCCTGGAGTAGAAAAGATACTTGACTAAACAAATTTACGTCCGCCCAGGTGAGGGGTGGGGCGGCGGAGAAGCCGTGATACAGCACGGTTAGTACATAATGAAATCGAGTTTCCACTCGAATGAAATCACCTATATACAATACCAGCTGCAGTGCTCGGACGTCTTTGCATACGGGGCACACTCCGGGGTTGCCTCGCCTGGTACATACAGTAGACAGTCTTGGAAGTCAGCGGGCCAGCCATGGCTACTGGTTCCGGGTACATGCGAAGAGAGGGGCAGACTTGAGTGGGTACAGCCTACAGGGCAGTTTTCCGAAGATCTCCTTATTCCCGTAACTAGCCCCGCAGATAGCATCTTACACACACGTCACTGTCACTCCTTCACCATTCAGCTCGCGCCGGGAGGCCTCCTTAGCCCTGGGGTGTATGTAGCATGGTGATATGCGCATCTCGTAGTCGTGCCACCCTCCAACTAGGCATGCCACTTACTACGTAGTAGCGCATCTCTCCTCTTTAATATGTAGTAGTGAGGAGGCCCCTCACCAATCATAGCCTCATGCTCGTATAGTACTATGTAATAAATTGACAGACCGAAACTTTCATTTCTAGGAATGTTGAACTCGAATGAATTGGAACCTGTGCTAGTAAAATTGACCTCCGATTTCTTTGAAATTATCATGCTTTGGCTTCCCAGGACGATCAATTCAACCAAGGAACCACCTTGACTGTGTAATCTATCCTACTGAAGTCCCAGACGCCCGGTGCAGATTCGAACTCCTTTTTGGCATCTTTTGCCATTGGAATCTTGGTTCCCCCCTCATGGTGCTGGAAATCATGGAAACTATAGTTTCCTTCATGATGGCTACCAAGAACACAATGTTTGACTACACGCCCTGGAACCGGTCGTCGGTACAGTACCAGATCGTCGCCCGGCCCTATATAACGCTCGTATTTGAAAGGAGTTTCGGTCATCAGATACTCTCTCACTAGTCGCATTTCCTTTAAGTGCTCCAAAAAAGCCTCAATTTGCTCCCAGTCTTTAAAGCCGTCGGGTGGCTGTCGTTTATTAGATCTATGACTGAGCTGGTTGGAAGTTCTGTTCAGTATGAACCCGATACAGACAACGACACAGTTGTTAGGCAAAGCATCGGGGTTCCAATAAGACCCCGGTGTATTAATAGAGCTCCCGTAGCTTCCAGAGAAATATCTGGCCAACTCCTTGGCGATGGCGGTTTGGTCGCTAATTATCGTCATATTGCAAAGTATATCGAAGTTTGGCTTCTTCAATCTCGTGACTATGAGCCAAAGTAATTAGCAACAAGACGCTCGCTTGACGGATCATAGGAGCGTACTGATGGTTTCCTTTCTTTGCCTGCAGCAATGTGGCTCTTGTAAAAATGAATAGGGGTTTGCAAATTGATCGAGATCAGTGAAAAGACCTCTGTGTTTTCGTTGTCCGATAGTTCTGGAAATACAGACGAAAAATATAAGACTACTGGAGATAGGAGGCTATAGATCGTATAAGTAAGAGCAAAGGCAGTGCAGCCCCTCATTAGTAATAGGAACGGTAGGCTACAACGTTAGGCATCAGCCTTGGAATGCTTCAAGTTCATGGCAAAGAGGTCCAAGCATCTGAGCACGTAGCGTGCCACGTAACGTACATAGGTATACATGATCAAGAAAAATACTAGTAGAAAGTCAGGTGAGTTGCCCGGCATCCTTGCGTCTTACTCTTTACAGCTTAATGCTTTCTCAGGGGTGTATGAGTGACGCTTATTTACTATGATCGGTAACTAAAGCGGGGTGCTTGACTGTTCCCGTCAATTGTTACGGACTGCTTGTCAGTCACTGTTAGTGGATCCTCGAGGGTATACTTCTCTTGGTCACTGTTCACTCCAAGTATGTGAGGTCAGCTGGGTGACCCCGCCTTCCATATGCAAAACATCCCGCTCTACCAAGGAACTCAGGTCGGGAAATATTTGCTCCATGCATGACACATGTGTAGTCAGTAGGGCATTCCTTCACAGGGTACCTATCAGTAACAGTTCGTTTAAACTTACAATGCCGCATCTATTTTCCTTTGCATCAAGATGCAACAACCTATTTGGTATTCGATGACGCCATTAAAGTCTAGAGCGCGAGAACTGTCGCCCCTAAGCCACATCGATTGACATTCTAAAAGAAATCTTTCCGCGGCTTCGTATTCGCCTTCGAGCATTAGCAGCCGTCCTATGGTAACCAGATTGATATAACGCCAGACTGGCAGGTATAATTTCCCCTTTCGAATGTCTCAATCGTGATCTAATCGCCTACAGTCACCTTACGTTCCACCCACAGCACTCCCAATATCAGCTGTTCGGCCGGGTTCCTTGCCCTATATCTCTGAGCTCGATCTTCTTGTATTCAAAGTTAACAGCTGTGGGCTAAGACCCACGCCAGCCAAAAAATTGCGTGATGCAACTGATGCTAGGACCCTAGCAGAAGATCTCAGTTCAAAAGGTCCCATTTCCCTGTCATCTACCCAGAATGATGCGGTGCTAAAGGGCCTTGATGATGTGGTCCAACTATCGAGGAAAGACAAGACCTGGTGGGCCTCAAAATTAGGGTTGAGCTGAAGTTTCCTGGTACTCAAGAAATTGAGAAAGGTTCGTAAAGGTCCTGCATTCGACCGGATATCCTTTAAAACTTCTGTCAAACTAAGGTGATGTTCTCTTTAAGTGCGATTCATGTTAGTGAATGCAATTGGTTCGTACTCAAGCAAGTACAGTACTTTCAAACTGTCATGTTTCCGAGGAAGGTTTACATAGAGATCCAGTAATTATCGCAAAGATGTCGATGGCACCTGGAAATTCTTTACCTCTCGTGCCGGACAGGGGGTGGGATATGCTACCAAAATCCAAAAAGCCTGGGAGATTGCTAAAATCGATTGTCGCCATTTTTGGCGCCGCAGCGAGTTAAGGTAGGGAAAGGGTGCTCAACCCGAAAGTGAAAGTGAGTGGAAGCGCATAGAATCTAGAAGCTCCTATGCTATCCAGGCACTAGGGGGAATGGTACGCCGAGGGGGCCAACGCGTGACGCCGTCCGTTACATAGAACTAGGAAAGTGCGTAGCCATGGCCAGACGGGTGCGTATGTGAAGGGCTGGTGCCGAGACCGCCATTTTTAGCGTCAAAGGGGGCCAGATTCGGCCGTCCCAGCACAAATGGTTTTTATTATCGAGGACTATTTAAAATTAAAGAAAAATTAGGACTAATAAATTATCGCTTAAAGCTATCTAAAAATATATAAAAACTCTATATAGTATTTTATATCTTATTACTCGAACTAGTATTAGTTCCTTAATCGCTTAAAAGGACTTAGGCTATAGTAAGGCCCTACGCGGCAATAGCTTAGTTGCGATCTGATCATTGACGTTAGACCATTCGAGGAGTATTAAGGCAAGTATACCCTGAACCTATCTAACCTAGCTATGACCAGTTAGCTAGTGCGTAACACTAGCATGATCTGACCAAGCGTTTCAATAAGACCGACAATTTGGACTGCCATCGAGAAATAGTTCCGGATATGGTCGAGTCACTTCCGTCGTAACAAGAGACTCACACTAATGATCTCTTTCAACTACGTAGAACATAACACTTCTCCATCCACTGGACGGAACGGGGAGAAAAGAGGTAAATCTTCTATCACAAAGAGGATACTTAATAATCGAGATACCCGGCTAGATACTAAAGAGAATACATACGGTTAGCAAGTAATTTGGCGACGCGTTTATAACATAATAAAATGTGATACAGCTATATGCCACTTAGGCCCCTACTGCTAGCTCGATCCAGTTAGGAAAAATCATTATCGACTCCGCACTCAAGCCCTCAGAAGGTTGGTTACCTACGCCGAGAAGGGCGGTGTCCTAGAGACGCACAAAGACGCAGACAATAAAGTAGGAAAACACAGCTTGCCATCGAATACTGCCACTAGTTACGGCAAAGATCTCTAGAGACATGGGCTTTCTGAATCCACGCGAGTAACGCGGCCCGCTACAAGAAAAGCCCCCGGAACCTTGCCGATCGAATCGAGATTCCTAAGCGAGGTAACTGCAACGAGAATATATTCCAACTAGTCGGGAAATAGCTACAAGACAAGGGGATTAGAAAATAGATTCTCGTCCTAGATAATGTCGATAATAACGAGCTCATTCGCAAACTTTTAGCAACCGGTACGGAGAGCCAATCAAGCAGCCCGATCAATACATCGACACAGCCGCCGCTAAGGTACCTCCTCGAAAGCTCAAATAGCTCCATTATTATCATTAGTCGGAGTAAAGGAGTAGCGTTAAACATCGCTAGTCCTAAGAATCTCATCAAAGTACAACCAATAGAAAAGTCCGAAGCGATAGACCTATTGCAGAAAAAATCAGATATACCTACAGAGAGTGAAGATATAGCGCCCCTAGTGGAGGCCCTTGAATTCATGCCACTTACGATCGTACAGGCCACCGCCTATATCACGCACCGTTCACCTCGATATTCAGTATCTTAATACCTTAAGAAAAATCCAGAAGAGTAATAGGGAAGAAGCACAGCTGCTTAATTATACGGCAGGCGTTCTTCACAGAGACTAGGAAGCCAAGAACTCTATTCTACTCACTTAGCAAATCTCCTTTGACTATATCCATAGTCTAAGACCGTCTACGACAGGCCTTCTTTCTCTTATGAGCTTTTTTGATCGTTAAGGAATTCCTAAGAGTATTCTCCGAGTCCGGCAAAGCTAGGAAACTTATAGAGATATATCCCCTAGAGAAAATGAAGATAGTTCCGGTGAAGAGGACGAAGGCAGCTTGTCTAGCTCTAACACTGATTAGTGTTTTAAAGACGATATTATCACACTTACTAACTATACATTAATTTCAATCGGCGAGCAAAGCACGGTATTCATAATACATCGACTAGTACAATTGACCGTACGCACTTGGATAAAAACTTATAGCCAGCTTAAACAGTAGAAGAAAATATTCATTAGTAATCTATATTTGATATTTCCAACCGGGCAATACGAAAACTAGGAAAGGTACCGATCGCTCTTTCCGCATATTCGATCGGCTCTTTCCAACCGTCCCGAATCACGAGATTCTCTAGAACAATAGGCAACGCTCCTTTATAGGGGCGCTTAGTATACGCAGGAAATTGGGAATATAACGGACGCGATAGAAATAGCACTGAAGTCAAGAAAGCAGAGATTAAAAATTTTTAACGCAGAAAATGAAAAAACCCTTCAGAGTACTGCAATATTAGTGGCAGCATATAGGGACGAGGGCCGGTAGAAGGACGCTAAGCAGCTCGAAGTGCTGGTGATGGAGACTCGCAAGACCAAGCTCGGCGAGGACCATCCCGACACACTAACGAGTATGGCCAACCTAGCGTCAACGTATAGGGCTCAGGGCCGGTAGGAGGAGGCCGAGAACCTTCAGACGCAGATAGTAACTACAAGCCAAACAAAGCTCGGCGAGGATCATCCTATTACACTCACGACCAAAAACAACCTAGCGTCGATATTCTACTATCTAGGCCGGTAGCAGGAGGCGGAAGCAATTAGCTTACAAGTTTTAGAGACTCGCAAGGCCAAGTTTAGCGAGGACCATCCTAACACTCTACTAAGTTTAATTAACCTAGCGTCGACGTATACCAAACAAGGCCGGTAGCAGGAGGCCGAGAAGCTCTAGGCACAGATAATAACTACAAGCAAGCCGAAACTCGGCGAGACTCATACTATTACCCTAACGAATATAAGCCACCTAGCGATAACACTCTAGAATCTAGGCCGGTAGAAGGAAGCTAAGCATCTCTAGATATAGGTAGTAGAGACTCGCAAGACAAAGCTTAGAGAGAACCATCCCGACACACTAGGGACGATAGCCAGCCTTACGTCAATATATTAGAAGCAAGGCCGGTTAGAGGAGGCCGAGCAGCTCCATATACAAGTGATAGAGACTCGTAAGACAAAGCTTAGAGAGGACCATCCTAACACACTATCCAGTATAGCCAGTCTTGCTTTCACCTAGAAATCTATAGGGCGGAAAGCCGATACTATAAATTTGCTAAGGATCTACGTAGCTAAGCAGCAACTATTCATTAGCCCTACTCATCCTAACACTATGTCTAATTCTAACACTTTGCTGGAATAGGAAACTAAGGAGGAGCTTAGTACCGATTCGCATTTCATAAAAAGTACCTCGGTTTATTGATTTCATAGCCAATAGCT